TGGAAAAAGGAAATAACCCATTAAAATGGTAATTCCTTCTCGTACACAYATATTCCTTATGTGATAAGGAATTACTTGATACATAAGTAATTGAGTCTTAATTGCCTTCATGTGATAATGGAAATAATCAATCCTTATAAGAAGGAGRGACATGAGACGTGAAGGTATAGAGAAGAAGACAAGAAACAATTCTTTTGTCAGAAAAGAAAACCTAAGAAATAAAAGTTCTTGTGAAGAACGTTTGTGATCGGATCTCAACGGCGCTAGTACCCCGTATCGAATCCAGTTTGTGTGAGTGTGGATACCGATAGAGRCACAACGTTTGGAGTGCTACATAACCTTGATTTAATTCAGTTCATCTTTCCGCTGCCAAATATCYAGGTATATTCGAAATCATAGAACMTAGATCTAATTTAGTATTTACACGAATCCTGGAAATTGAATTCTAAGTCAATATTTATAAATAGTTATAAATCGCCTATGAATTCCAACATCTTGGACCACGACTCGTTGCTTAAGCCCAGCCTCGCAGTGACCCGTCTCTGAGCTTATAAAATAGTGAACTCCTGGTTTTGTGAGCCTAACGAGATCGTGTCTTGTCTTGTGCACAGCTACAGGTGAAGTCGGGTCGCAATACTTGAACTCAAGATGACCGCTGATTTCTAACACGTCGTTGTCTTCGTTGCCATATTCGAAAAACAGAGAGTCTCCGACATAAAACTGTTTCTCCTCGCTCCACTTGTTGTAGAAGTCACTGTCGTAAACATTCCATCCTTTGGAGTCACCGACCTTGTAGAACTTTCCAAGAGGAAGGATCTTCCTCGGTGGTGGTGGAGGAACGTCGAGATTTTGTCCGGATACGCATTGAGAATGGTTTGAGCTGACGAAGTAGTAGGAACCTGGCTCCGTGAAGGTCACGACATCGTGTCCCGTGTTGTATACGGCTTTAGGAGAAGAAGAGTCGCAGAATTTGTAGAAAACCAAATAGGATCAATTATTTAGAAACAAAAAAACCTAAAAACCTAATTACCCGAACCAAACCGAATAACCAAACGC